CTTAGAGTCTCTGCTTGGAAAAGCCCCGCATACTCAGGCTCCACCTGCCCAACGGGAACCAGCAGGAAGTCTGAGCTGAGACCACTGGCCACTGGGGAGGAGTGTTCTGAGTCCTCCCCCCCTCTAGATGCCGAGGTCCATCTACACCACCCCCTCCAAGCCATGGCACCGGAACCTGACCCTCTGGCTCCCAGGGACAGGTGGGCCCAGGGTGCCTTGGGCTCTGGTGGGTGAGCAGAGGCTCAGAGAGCACACAGTGACCAGCTGCCCACAGGCTGGGCCGAGGCACCGCAGAAGAAGCTGGGGACCTCAAAGGGGATAGCTTTGGAGGAGGGTGGGTCTGGAGCACTCAAGAAGAAGTAAATGGACAGTTTGAGGACCAGGAAAACAGATGCCTTGCAGGAGAACTTGTCTTAGAATGGCGTTTTCAGGTTTTCAAACTTCCAGCCCACTGTTTTCTGGATGCAGGGACCATGTGTGGCCCTCAGGGAGATGGCCCAGTGATGACACAGGTGCTTTTGGTCTCAGGTGGCAGGGGTCATAGTCAAGGCCAAGTTGGCTGCAGGAGTTTGCTGAGGGGTTGGGAGGACTGTGGGTATTGCTGCTTGAACACCGGGGCCTGGTAGCCCAGTCCAGGACAGGAAGGTGGGGAAGGGGTGGCCAGGACTTGTCCAGGAGGGCTGGAGAGCGGCCCCAGCACTCGGCTAATTTTAACCCAGCCTGTACGCACGTCCGAGGCCTCCTGTGGTGACCAGGCCTCCAGGACCCTTTGGCAGCCTTGGAGAGGGCCCTTGTGTGAGAACAGGTCAAGCTTTCTCTCTCGCCCTGAGCTTGGGGTGGCCAACAGTCCCTGGGCCCTTGGGTCAGGTGAGAGGAGCCAGGGCTGGAAAGGTAGATGAAAAGGTGGGTGCAGGAGAGTCCCCTCTTTGTGCAGCCTTTAATTACAGCAGGACCCACCCTCCTGAGCCAGGGCACGCTCACCTGTCGGCACGGCGGCAGGGAGCACCTGGGCCGTGAAGCACCTGGCCCTGTGGATCAAGAGCAGGAAACAGGGCTGGCAGGGCTGGCGGGAGGGTCCAGGGGCACAGGCACTGCACCCCCACCTCCACTCTGGAGCACAGTGGCCCCCTCATGGCCTCCCTGTTGGGTGGGAAGGGGTGTCTGCTGCATGGGCAGCTCAGAGTGGGAAGCAGGTGGCAAGGTGGTGAGCCTGGAGGAGGCAGAGATGGTGCCCGTCGGGGAGCCCTTGTTCTGGTCAGAACCGCGAAGTCTGAGCCCCCAACACTGGGGTCTGGCTCTGTTGGGCCTGTGACTGGCGCTTCCTTCCAGTTCTCTTGACCTGAAGCAGGTCCGTGTTCTAGGAAATTGCCGATTGGGTTGCCAAAAGCAAAAGTAGCAGGAGAGGGAGTCAGTCACAGGCTCCTCCCCAACCCAGGTCAACACCCCGGACTCGGGGGCGTGCCAAGGAGGGTGAGTGACAGCTTCTGTCATCCCCACGGGGGACCATAAGCCCAGGGACAGCAGCCCAGTGGAGCCCACCTGGGGCTGACGGATGGCCCCCTGCACCCACCCACACCTGCCGCAGGTGTTTGCTCTGCTGAGGCCAGGAGGTGAGTCAGAGGAGCCTGGGGCTACAGGAAGACAGCGTTCCAACCAGAAGTAGAGCGACCAGTGCAGGTGACTCTGAGCCTGTCCCCTCAGAGCCCGGGGCTGGCCCACCCTGAGTTTAAACCCCAGAGGCTCCAGGGCTCTCCCTCTGCTCCAGAACTGTCCTACCAGTGACCCCTAATGGTGACCCCCTATTAGCCTGACCTCTAGGCCAAGGCTGGGCCCTGAAGGTGCAGAGACCCTGTGGCAGTCTGTGGCTGGCGGCCATGCAGGAAGCAGCCTTGAGCCACACCACAATGGCCCTTTGTCCTGCCTGCCCCGCCCAGCGAGGCCTCAGCCCCAGTCAGTCCAGCTCTGCCACCAGCCTGACTGTGTCCCCAAGTGTGGGGGTGGCTTTTGTCAACTGTCCCAGGTCAGGACCCCCCGTCTCTGGAGAACCCATTTTGCTTGCTGTGTCCCCACTCCTGCTGCCGTGGAAATGTCCACACCCACAAGGTGGGTCAGCGCAGCCTCTCCAGCACTCCTGGCAGGGAGTATAGCTGCCACTCTGCAGACAGCGATGGCGTGGGCCTGTTGTGCCGTGTGGGGTGGCCCATGCCGACCGTTCAGGGCTCGGGCACTCACCATGGCCCCTGTTGGAAGAGGCCAGAGGCTCCAGGCTGCCCCAACGCCTCTCGTCCACACACATCCTTCAGGGGTGGGAGAGCGCTGCCTCCAGGGAGACTGCACTGGCAAGTGTCCCAGGCCCGCCCCTCCAGTGCCTCTGCTCTGGGCTCCCATGGCTGCTCGTCAGGAGTGATGGCGCCAGGCTCAGGGCCTCGAGGCTGGACATCAGCAGAGCTGAGGCACCTGAGAGTCCCCAGGGCACAGCTGGGACTGGCTGCGGCCACCTGTGACGTCTCTAAGGGGAAAAGGGGTGTCCCATCTGACCATGTGCTGGAAACCAAGTGACGAGAGGCATTTGGACCCTGCCCATCCTGCCAGGCCTGTCCTGACCATCTCAGCCCACAAAGTGGCAGACATAGCTTGGGGTCCACAACTGACTTTGGGTTATTTGGGGACTTGGGTGAAACAGTGCAAGGAGAACCGGGAACAGGCATGCACATCAGGGAGGTGGGTGGTCAGGCAGACCCGAACCGGCCCCACTGGCCAAAGCTCTGCTGCTTCTTGGCCTCTCCGCTCCTGGGCTAAGAGTCTCTGCAGTCCAGCTGAGGCCAGCTGGGGTGGCCTCTGGCCGGGACAGTGAGTCTGTGGAACAAGTGCCCCGAGCGGGCGAGGAGCACATGGCGAGGGGCCTTTCGCATCAGCTGCCTGGTAGACCCCCTTGTAAACCTCCCACAGAAAACGGCCTGGCCTTGTAACTCCGAGTCGCACAGACTGTGATCCAGGTGCTCTTGGGTAGGAACTGGCAGTCAGGACAGGCCAGGTGCTGCTGTGGTGATGAGGAAGAAAAGCGAAGCCCCGCCTGCGGCTTCCCCCTCCACGGGCAGGGGTGGGAGGCCACACCGCTCTTCCCGTGACTGGCCCCTTCCATCCCCACCATGTCCCAGCGCTCAAGGCTCAAGGGACACTGGCCATGGCTCCCTCTAGCCCCCCGGGAGCCTCTGAAGTCTGAACACCGTGCTTGTCAGCCTCCCCCGCAACATTTCTGGGCTGAGCCAGGAGGTCCCGACAAGTGGCAGCGCCAGGCTGCCCCATGACGGAGTGTTCAGAGGTCAGCCGTGAGCAGCCCCTCTGATTCCCACCCAACCGCAAGTGCCTGCAAGTTTGGGGTTAGTGAACAATGCCTCAGTTTCCCCAAAACACAGGGACACCAGCCAGGGGTGTCCCGACCCCACCCCACACAAACATAGACACCCTGAGTGAGCATTGGAGCTGGCAGGTGTCCTGACTACCCTGACGACGGGTGTGCCTTCCACAGCCCTAGGGCCTGGAGGTCAGAGGGTTGGAGGGTCAGAGGTCACTGATGCTCCCAGGACTGGCCTCCAGATGCCCAGCTCCGTGCTGCTCCCTGCGTTGGGGTGGTGAGGGGAAAAGCCTGTCTGGCCGAGGCACCCTCCACCCCCAGCACAACCCTTCGGGCATGAGGCCAGGATGAGCTTGGCTGAGGAGGGGACCAGCTTGGGGATGTCCAGCGGGCAGTGGACCCAGAAACCCGCTGTGAAGGGCCAATGGGAGGTTTTAGGATCCCTCACTGTGACTCTAGTCATCTGGGCCCATGGGGTCCGTGCCCTCCTCTGGCTCCCCCAGTGCTGTGGGTACTGAGGCCCACCGGGGGGCAGCCCCCTAGAGCTGTGCAGCCCTCGGAGCCTAGCCTTCGCGGTGGCACCTCACCCCTTTGACCAGGTCTGTCCCTGGAGGGTAGGCTTTGGGTCTGAAGACCGGGCCCTGAACAGAAAGACGAGGCCACACAAAGCCCTGCTCCAGGGGCTAGTGAGCAGAGCGGCTGGCAGCGGGGGACAGGCCCCTTGTCATTATGAGTTTCCAGCACAGCTGCCGGAGCTCGGAGCTCGTTATGGAAATAGTTGGGCCCTCTGGGACCGCCCTGCTGGCCGGGCTAATTACTGGGCTGCCTGTTGTTTCATTACGGGCCCTTCTGCAGGGAAGGACCTGGAGTGAGAAGGGTCACTTCCCCATACTGTCCCTTCCCTCCCTGCAGCCACAGGCTCCAGGTCCTTCCAAACCCCAACAGAAAACCTTGAACCCCTAGTCCAGGGGTCTCAAAATCGGGGTGTTTTAGGAGCTGTCACAGCCTTAGCCACCAGGGCAGACCCCTCCCAGCAGCCGCGCTCCCCCCCACCCTTCTACCCCCATGTGTGGGTCCGTGTGAGACAGGCCAGTTGGGGGCCCCCGAGACTAGGGTTCCAAGGGTCCAGGCAGAGCAGACCCCCCCACCTGCCCCCGACTGCGGCCACACCTGGGGGCTGGGGCCTGGGGTAAGGGGAGGCACAGCTTCTGCCCCTTGTCAAAGAGGCTGCAGGCCCAAGGGGCAGGGGCCTTTGTGGGGCTGCCCCCAGGCAAGCAGAGGGTACAGGGTGTGACCCAACGCTGCCCCCTTCCCATCCAGGGGCCTGAACAGGAATAGACACCCTGGCCCTCCCCCGCTGGCTTGCAAGCCCCATGGCAGAAGCTCTCTGGCCTGGTTTTTGTTCAACCTGGGCCGCGGGCAGGCGAGGCGGGGCAGGAATGTGTGCGGGGCCTGCTGCCCGCCCGCCCTGCTGCGTCATGTAACTGCCTCCCTCCGGCCTATGGGAGCCCGGGGGACACACCTGTCGGTGGCCAGGAGCGGAGATTGGTCGGCGTGAGCAGGCACCTGCACGGGGCGGGGTGAGGCCCTACATGTAAGGCGAGCTCGGGGCCATGCTGTCTCTCCCCTGCCTGCCCTGCCCTGCCCTTCGCTGCAGAAGGGCAGGCCGCCGACTCCATTGTTCCCAGTCGCTCTCCAAACTTGCCAGAGACCAGGCGAACTGCCACCCGCAAGTGTGGAATCCAGCTTCTCCTGTGTGCAGAGCCTCAGCTGGGGGAGGCAGGGAACTGGTCGTCTCCAGGGGGCGGTAGCCCCCAGTCCTGTTGCTACGAGGCCGGACTGCGGTTGGGGCAGGTTGGGCCGAAGCCAGACCTGGGTCCTGGGCTGTGGACCACGGGCTGACAGGTATTTGGGGCAACTGGTGTCAAAGCTTCCCCAGGCCCGCCGTGCTGAGGCCTGGTGGTTCCTGGGTGCAGGGACGCTGCTGGACACGCTGGGCTGGGGGCAGGGAGCGGTCTCCCGCCCCCTCCTCCAGGTGCTAAACCTGTTGGGGCAGGTAAGAAGAGGCAGAGAGCCTGGGGAGGCCGCTCTGCAGGAGAGTCTCCGGGGGGGGACCCGGAGAGGACAGGTGACCAGGCGATGTGCCCGGCTCGGGGTCAGGACTTGAGGAAGGGTGGTCCTTCTTCTCTGAGAAGGTGGGGCCTCGGGCTGGGCTGCTAGGTGTCGGGTGTGGAGCCATCTTGGGCCGGGCTGCTCAGGGTCTACAAGCCAGGTGGGCGGGGGCACCGGGCAATGGGGGTCTCGCCCCACCTAGAGGGCAGCTTGGGCCCATGACCGTGAGGCTCCCACCTTTTGCCTGGAAACAGGACCTTCTGGAAAGCTCCTTCCCACTGGTGTGGGCTTTGGAAGTTCCGTGTTCCCTCAGAGCTGGGTGGGAGGACTTGGGGCGCCCTGCTCTGGCGCCGGGCTTCCGGGTTTTGCCCATGGGGAGGGCTTGGTTTTGGGGTAGCCACACTGGGTGGGTCGGAGCGTAGGCAGAGCCGGTCTGGCCTGGACTGCGGCTGCTCCTCGCAAAGCCGGAACCAACTTGGAGAAGGAGCGGGCTGGCCCCTGGCCGACACGGTTACTCAGGGCCAAGACCAAAGTCTGTTCTAAAGATTCTTGACTTAAATGCAAAATGGCACTGCAGCCACCTAAACAGCTCGTTCCGGTAAAGCCTGCCGTGCGGCCCCGCGAGCTGCTTTCACAGCCCAAATCACTGGCTTTATTAGTTAGGACGGTCACAGTTTAGGAGAGGATGACATCACGGGGCATAAGGCTGATCATCGAAGCATGATATAGAGTCCATTGCTCTTGAACAAAACTTTTAAGTATATGATGTTTTAATTAATCCAGTGGGAGCATTTTAGCCCTTTTAAGGCTGAGCATTGGGAAAAATAGGTCGGCTTTGTTTTGTTTTGCTTTTTTCTAGTAACCCAGGTGAAGTGCTTACAAGTTAGAGCGATTGGCAGCACGTTGAATTAGGCAAAATATGTTTTGCATTTATGAAAATGCAAAGCAACCATAAATATGGACGCAGCCTGTGGTCCATTTCAGACATCTTGGTCATTTGCAAATATCTTATTTGCAAAGGCAGTTTGTAGGAATGCTTTTGGTGAATTTAAGAGAAGGCAAGAGGCCACCCGCCCCTGAGGGCCCGGTCTGTTCTCTGGTGTGGGCAGCATGGGGTGCGCCCCCAGGAGGCCCGAGAAGCGATGCACTGTGTGGGGCAAATGGCGGCGAGCCGGCAGAGCTGAACACCGCCGGCGTGAAGACCTCTCCCGCACAGGGGTTGGGTTTCAGCGCTTTGTTCTCTGTGGGCCTCACCATTGATTAAGGCCCGTCAGGCAGGTTAACCAGTGAGCGACTTTTTCACGCTGGGATCGGGTTCCCCACCCGCTGGCCGGTGGTGCCCTCCCAGTGAGGTGTTTGTCCGCTTAGCCTGGTCACCGTGGCGATGATTAACCACACCAACACTCGGCACCACGGCAGGCGGCGGACACAGGCCACGTTCATTTTCACTTTTCATTTCAGCTGCTCAGAGTCTCGCCTGGCACAGCGGGCCGGGCCCTTGACCCACCCGCTGAGCTGCACTGAGGCCCAGGCCAGGCATCGGCCTTTCCTTGTGGGCTCACAGGTTCTGAGTTCAGGAAGAGACTGGGGTTCTGTCCTGGAACTTAGAAGAGAGCACCCTGCTGCCTGCCCGCCCGGGCCTGTCCATGTGTCTGTCTGCCTGTCGGGCATCCTCTCTCCCTCCTAGGTGCCCACTAGCTGATGAGTGGTGGGCAGCCGACAGCGGGGGTGCCGGTTCATCTGGCTCGCTGCCAGGCATGCTGTGGGCCTGTGGGGTCTTGGGCCCTCGATGCTCCCAGATTAAGGCTGGCCCTGAGTGGCCAAGGGCACAGAGGACACCAGGCTCCAGCTCTGAAGGCCGGGCTGTGCTCGGTGGCCTGGCTACAAGGGAGGGACTCTGGGCACCCGCCCGCATCCCCTCACTTAGCCCCCACTGCCTTCCCCCTGTGGCCTGGCAGCTGGAAGTGAAGCTGAAATTTAACTCAGCTCTGAAAGCCTAAATGGTTTCACTTAACTCAGAAAAAAGGGCACTGCATTCCTGCAGCACACTGATTTTACGGGGTCGTGGGACAGAACTTGAAGGGCCAAGTGTTAAGCCAGGAGGGGCCAGGGGCGGGGATGGGGCCCAGGGCAGGAGCCTGCACATCCCACCTGTCCCCCAGCATGGGGCCTACACTAGGGTCAGGTCCTCTGAGAAATGTCTGCTGTTCCTGAGGACGGAGCTGGAGAACCGGGTGGACCTGGCTGAGGCGGGGGGTGGAGTGGACATAGCCTTTGTTGTGGTCAGCCCGGCAGCCTGGGGGAATCAGTACAGGCCCACCCCCTACCCCCTGCAGCCTCTGTGGGTGGAAGGTGCTGGAAAACTTGAGGAGCTGCTCTGGCCGGCTCTCCAGGCTCAGGTGCCACCTGTGCAAGGGACAGACAAGGGACAGGAGGGAGAACGGGACCCCTCAGTTTCTCCACGTGCCAGGGTGCCAGGGTCTCATCTCCATGCAGGGACCCCAGGAATGGGCCCCCACTTCCTCGACCCCCACACTCTGAACACCCCTGTCCTGGGAGGCGCTTCCGAAGACTGGCTTGTCCCTGGCAGGCACCTAGGCATTGTTATTCTGCATTCTATGTTTGGGGGCTGCTGTCCCATCTGCTCTGGGGTTGGACCCCAGACCAGTGGGCACACAAGCCACAGTGACCACCAGGCACAGGCTGGGCAGGGCTACCCCTCTCACCCCTCCTGCAGGCCCAGCGCCACCTCGTCCTTGGACCTCGTGGCCAGCGGTGGCCAGAACCCCAGGGCCCCGGAGCAGAGGGGCAGGCAGACAGCCCCATCTGTGACCTAGCTGGTGAGGCAGCACAGTGAGGGGTGGGGGACCCTGGGCCCTGGGGACACCTGCCCTGTTCGGTGGGGTGGGAGAGGGAGCCCCCAGGTGCCATCTTGCTCTGTCCTCACCCTGATTCCCTTCCTCTTCCTTGATGAGGGCACGAGGGGCTGGCTTGCAGAGCCGCTGGGGCCGTGTCAGGAGGTAGAGGCCCACCGTCCAGCCACAGCAGCCCCACCAGCTTCAGACACACAGTCACCGGGACCCCGAGAGGGCTGGGCCTGATGTCCATGCCTGTCCCTGGGACTGCCCAGAGGGAAGGTCCTGTTCTGCCACTGCCCCGTGGGGTTGCCATCCTCCTGTGGGCAGGACACCCTGGCCCCCTTCAGGTGCCCACCCCATGCACAGAGCTGGTGGCCCCGCTGGGCAGGACGGTCACCCTGTGGTTTGGGCCAACAGGGACGTCCGGGTGCAGCAGCCCAGCCTTCTCCAGGCTGAGCCCCCACAGATGGGGCCTGCCTGGAGCTGCGGCCTCGGGCACGCGGGGCCCTCTCTTAAGCCCCTGCCTCTCCCAGATTCCTCCTCATCTCAGTGTCCTAAGAGCATGTGTCTGCCCCACATCGAGCCCGGGCGGCCCCCAGACCCACTTCGGGGCGGCCATCGCCATCTTACTGGGCAGCATTGGATGGTGTCTGGTCTCTAATACTGCCTGGTAATGATGACGGCGGGGCCCTGCACGCAGCGATGGGGCCGCCCCTCCCACCCCCCGCCCCCGCCTGAGCTCCCCACGCAGGCCCCACGCAGGTTCCCACTCTGTCCTGCCCGGTGGCTTCTGGGTGGGGATAAGGGGCAGAAAGTTAGCCTTGGGCAGCCCCTCCTCCAGCCCCCACCCCAAATGAAAGGATACCTGCAGCTGCACCGAGCGCCCCCCGACAGTGACCGGGGATTGGGACACTCAGGCCCTGTCCCTACCCATGGGGCCTGAACAGGTACTGCACCACACCTGGCTGTGTGGGCGGGCAGAACCGCAGCAAAGGCTCTGAGGGGGTATTCCGTTTGGCCTGGACCTGCCAGTGGGCCCGGGGGTGGCAGGCCAGGTCCAGACCCCACGTCCTTGCTCTGGAGAAAGCAGGAAGGAGCACGCAGGCCTCCCGCCTCCTGCCCGGGGGGGGTGCCACGTGTCCACCCTGCGTCCTCGGGCCGAGGTGCTCCTGGGCCTCTGTGGGCATCTTACCGGACAGTGCTGGATTTCTCGGCTTGACTCTAACACTGTCTGGTAACGATGTTCAAAGATGACCCACCGCCCACTGCTAGGAAGCGGCCCGAGGTCTCACCATCCTGAGACCCAGACTCCAGAGCTGGGCTGGCCGGCGGGCAGGCAGATGGCCTGTCTCAGCCCAGCCCACCAAGGGACCTCGGCCTGCGTTGGGCACACCCTGCCATCTTCCTGCTGCACTGAAGCTTGCCCCCAGCACGCCCCCAGCCTGCCCAGCTTTGCGGCTTTCCCCAGAATCGGACGGCAGGCCACACAGGGAAACACACCTTGTGCCTGGCACAGAGCTGGTGGCAGGCTGCCCCACCGTCCCTTCCCAGCCCTTCCCGTCCAGTACGCAGGGACAGATGTCACTGCGGCGGTCCTAAGGCGCCCCAGCAGCAGGCACCGTTGGGAGCTGGCCTTGCCCTGAGAGGTCCGCAGTGGGCACGGGCCTCTCCTACACCAGGGCTCTTACTTTGAAAGGGGGGCATGCTCCCTCTATCCGTGGGGGACGCAGGAAGGACACAGGTGTGTCCAGGTGCCCCTGCTATGACCTGCAGTGGACGTTCTGTGCTGTTTCCCCGACAAGGACATCTCCCCCCTGCAAGCGCCACCATCACAGGCGAGAATGGGAACATTGTCTGAAATTCCAAGGCCAGGATGGCCCTTGGTTTTATGTTTTTGATCTGAAGCCAGGACTCCGGCCCCCAGACCTGCCTGGTCGACAGGACAGGGGCGGCCTTCTAGGCCCTGGGAGCCCGACCTGCACGGGGCCCCAGCAGACTCTGGGGGAGGAGGGTCTGCTTCTGGCCCCACTGTTACTTATTAACTGAGCACTGACTCAGGGTCAAGTGCAAGGGAGCCAGACGCCCCAGCTGCACCCACAAACACATGCACCTGGGGGACTGCATGCTGGGATCGGGTCTGAGGCCAGGTGGGTCCTGAGAGGCTCCGGCAGACATCAGGCCACGGGGCCCTGGGGGCCGCTCTGCAGACTCAGGAGGGCCAGGGGGCTTGCCGCCCAGCTGAACCCCCCCACTCCATTGGGGCGCAGCAGGACAGGTGTGGGAGAAGCCACCCCAGGCCCTCCTGGAAGGGCCACCAGACTCGAGGCCACCTGTATCGCAGCCTGTGATGGGCGTCTTACCAGACACGGTTAGACCTGGGTCCTTCTGTCTAATACTGTCTGGTAATGCCGTCCATCCACGGCCTGGTCGCCGTCGGAGGGACCCCTCGCCGGACACCAGGTGGGGGTGAGACCCGCAGCCCATCGGGCCCAGCAGTGGCCCTGAGCCAGGTGCTGCATGCCTCGTGTCCCCCCAGGGCTCAGGCCACACTGGGACATCCCCAGCTCCCAAGACCCCGGCTGGTGGAGCCCTTTGACCCCGTGGTGCGTTCTCTCTCGCAGCCATAATGGATTGTTGATGTAATAAAGGTGTGAGGCTCGAGGCAGCTGGCTTCTGTTCATCTCAAGTGCACAGGTGGTGGGGCTGCCAGGGCACAGCCCACCCCCAGAGCAGCCCCGAGGGCCCCGCACTTAGGGTCTGCCAGCAGACAGTGCAGCCACAATGCTGCTGGCTCTGCCACTGGGCCAGGAGAGATGGGGGTGCAGTCAGCACCCCCCCAGCCCTCTCCAGAGAGGTGACCTCATCCTTCACCCCACACACACACCTGTACCAGGCAGGGGGTCTTCAGGAGGAGAAGATAGTAGCAAGCCCAGGCCCTCAAACCCCCAACCCAGGGTGGGGAAGAGCACCTGTGGTTAGCAGTGCCCCCGAAGACCCCCAGGCTGTCCCCTGCCCACCCTCAGACTAGAGCAAAAAGCTTGGGGAAGGGAGGGGTGAGATGGGCAGGGGTGCAGCCACCTCTCCTTCCCTCCATGGGTCTCAGCTCAGGGGCCCCACCGGGTCTTGGGCAGTCGGGAAGGGGGTGCTGTCCAGGTGCCATGCAGCCCGGTCACCCCTCACCCCACCCCATACTTTGGCCTGTCAACCGCCCTGCTCTATTCTGCTGTCCTCAAGGCAGGCTCACCGCCGTGTCCTCTGTCTAAGGCTGTCCCCAGAACCAAACTTCTAATGCTGACCCCACCCCCAGCCTCATGGCTGCCCCCCCTAGAGCCCCTTCCTTCCCCTGAGAGTTCTGAGCAGTTCCCAGGGTCCTGACCCACAGCTTTGCAAAGGTCAGAGCTTCAGACTCTGCATTAGCCCAAGGGCTATGCGGCTGGAGTTGGGGTGCAGAAGCTTCTCCCGCCTTCCTACCCTCTGTCTCCCTCCCTCCGTGAGTCTTTCCTGAACACACTGCACAGCGCAGTTCTAGAGCAGCAAGAAGAAGGGGCAGGGGGAGGCACCCTGGGAAGGCCTGTCTGAGCAGGTGACTAAGTGGGGGGCCATGCAGACACTTGCAGGAGCCAAGCAGAGAGGCCAGAGGCCAGAGGCCGCCTGGGACCAGCGAGGAGGGCTTCTTGGTCCAGCGTCCAGGAGGCTTGGCCCCACCCCAGCAAAGGTGCCAGCTCCCCAGGGAGCCGGAGCCTGACCTGCCTGGGAGACCACTGCTGCAGGAGGGGCGCTGGGCCTCTCCCAGCTCAGAGGGGGGCCCCTGCTTCTAGCACACATGGGCCAAGCACACCCACAGCCAGGAGATCCCCAGCTGCCCAGCTGCCCCGCGGCGGCATCTGCGAGCGTGGACACGGCCGCCCAGCCCACATGCGTAGTGATGAAAGGCTGTGGCTGGGCGGCACTGTGCAGTCCAGTTTTTCGGGTTATGAGGCAGAGTTTTCAAGTTTGAGCTCGGTGTCACTGCAAGCAGGGGGCCGACTCCCCAGAACCTGAAAGGAGCCAGCAGGGGCGGGGTGAGGACGCCCCAGGAAGTTTTCTGAGCAGGTGACTAAGGGGGGACCATGAAGACATCTGGTTCTGGGCTGGCCCCGGAGCCTCCAAAGGGCCTGGGCCGCAAGGAGTGATGTGGGAGGGGGCACAAGGTCGCAAGGGAGGACAGCCATGGCAGTCTGAGGGTCTGTGCTCAGGCCAAGGGGAAGAGGAGTGGCCTGCAGGTGACCAGGGGCCACAAGGATCCCCGCTGTTGCTCTGAGAAGCTCTAGGCTGGAGGGCCACCAGCTCCTAAGGTCAGGATATCCCAGCCACTCAGTCAACGGCTTGGCCAGAGTCCTCCACCCCTCCGCAACCCCCAGGCTGACCTACGGCTACCACAGGGCAGAGGGGGCCTCAGACCACAGTCCAGCAGGACTGACCCCTGAAGGCCCCTAGCACCAGGTACAGGCAGGCATGGAGCTTGGGGTGCAGCGGCCTCTGTGTGGGGTCAGGGAGGCTTCCATGTAGTGAGGATTCCATGTGGGACCCTCAAAAGTGAGAAGGGGTTTAAGGGGTGCATGTGTCCCTCTTGGGCCACCAAGCAAACGCCCCCAGCCTGGGTGGCTTGCAACAGCAGAAATGTGTGCTCACAGCTCAGGAGGCAGAGTCAGAAACGAAGCTGGGGTGGGGGGCGCCCCCTCCGGGGGCCCTGGGGGAGGGTCCTTCCTGCCTGTCCCAGCCTTGGGGGCTCTGGGCGTCCCTGGGCTGGTAGCCACGTCCCTCCATCTTCTGCCCTCTCTTCACGTGGCTTCCGCCCTGTGTCTGCTCTGTTCCTCTGCCTCCCTCTTATGAAGACACTCGTCACTGGACTTAGGGCCCCCAGATAACCCAGGAGGACCCCATCTCAAGATCCTTAACTTAATCACATCTGCAAAGACCCTTTTCCCAAGTGAGGTCACATCTGCAGGTTCTGGGGCTTAGGGTGTGAGCACACGTTTTGGGGTCCCCATCCAGCCCTACAAGAAGCAAGTAAAGGCACTCAAAATAGACACCCTTATGACCCACAGAGGCTCTGGAGGGGCCTCGGACAGCAGAGGCACAACCCTGGGCGTGAGCACCCCCACCCTTGGGGGAGCCCCACTGTTTTGTGGGGGCCCCTTGTGCTGACACTGTGGTGAAGGAGCTGAAAGGTAGCGCTGAAGCAAAGCGAACACAAAGAACATCATGAGCTCAGGTCTGGGTCTGGGCATGGATTTGGGGGTCTTGAGAGGCTCAGGGATGATCCTGGAGAGAATGGAGGGCCCAACTCCCCCACACCTGGCCTCCGCCCCCCCACTCATCTGCTGGCCTCTGGGCCACTGGGTCCAGGTTGTTGGGAAGTGGTTGCTGGGAGACAGTTGCCAAGTCACCACTGTTGTTTCCAGGGCAGAGGGCTCACACCAACTTGTAGGGCAAGAGAAGTGCAGGTGGGCCAGTAGTGGGGTCCTAGCTGGGCATGAGGGTGGGCCTGCTGTCCTGTGCCCCCACCCGGCCACCAGGGACCCTGTGGGTCAGCTTGGGACCCAGCCCAGGAACAGAAAGGAGACGAGGGAGAGGAAGGCAGGGGGAGGGCCCGTGCCCCCAGGACCACGGTGGGAGGGGCACGAACCCCCCAGGCCTGGCCAAGAAAGGTGTGGCTCCTGGGGGTGGCAGCCGCCCAGGGCGAGCTCCTTTGCCCAGGACCAGGTCTGCCTCCCAGAACCGATCCCTGGAAGGGCCTCTTGACATGTGTGGGGACCCACGTCCCTGCAGACAGTCCACCCCTGGCCAGGACGTGCCAGCCCGTCGAACAATGTCAGCACCTCCGTGGCACCCCATGCTGCCAAACATGGATTTCGGGGGAAGGTGCGCGGCAGAACACTGATGACTTCTCGTTCTCTTGGACGTTTTCTTCAGGTTCACGAGGGCTTTTCATGCGTCTCACCGGGGTCCTGCTTCCTGCCGGTCGGTTTACCTGACCAGGTAAAAAGTTTATTATTTCAAAGTTTATTATGAAGTTGAGTTTACACTTAAGCCCTCCCAGCATTGTCCGGATGCGCTGTCCGGTGTCCATCCTCCACGGCCAGCACGCTCGCACACCGGGTCTCACCCACGCCCACCTGCATTTGGAACAATGTCCTTCAGAGGCTCTGAAAAATGCTCACCAGGCGAAGCGTGAAGGGCGTCCAGACCCCGGCGACACCTGGTGCACGCGTCCCACCCTTAAGCTCCTGCCAGCCACAGGACACCACACCTCTGTGACCGAGGTTGCCCGTGGACCAGGCTGTGGAGGACAAGCTCACCCCCTGCTCGCCACCGAGCCTGTGTTGTAACTGCAGATAACGCCCTGCCCAGCCGGCCTAGGGCCCCTGGCCTGGCTCTGCACCTGTTTGTTCTTCTGCCAGGGGCTGTGTGTCCTCTCCATCGTCACTGTTAGCCTGCCGCAGGCCTAACCTGCTGCGCCCACCTCACAGGTGGGGCATTAGGAGTCCCTGAGGGTCCCCACCACTGTTCCAGCAGCGGGTCCCCTGGATGCCACGTTAACTGCACCTCCCTCCTGCTCCCATCTTTGTGTTCTTTTCTGGGCCATTTCCTGGCCTTGAACTGCTGACCTGTATGTTGCATTTCTCATTTCCACAAGCCATGAGCAGGGCGCCCGGCCCTCCAGGGGCGAGGCGTGTCCTACCCCCACCCCAGTGTGCTCCAGGGGTGTTTCCTTTGGCTTCTGTGCCGCCCTGATGTCCCCCCTCCTTGTTCTCCGTGCGTGTGTATGACCACGTCTGTGTGTGCGTCTGCGTGTTTGTGACCGTCTGTGTATATACCTGTGTATCTGTGTCTTTGAGTATCTGTGTCGGCCTCTCCTTCATACCTGGGGGGCCTCCCTCAGATGCCTGCTGACAGCGCTATGAGAGGGTACTGAATATCAGTGTCTTGGGGGTTCCCCTAGCCTCAGCAGGACTCCTTGGACCTGCTGCCAGGTGTTAGGAACCGCATGCGGAGGGGCTGGGGTCTCCCGGGCATGTGGAGGGTGGCTTGTGCACGCACAGGCCTTCCGCAGGTGCAGCCCAAACACTCAGCCTCCTCCAAGGAGCCCTCTGGTTCTGGCTGGAGCAGGGCTGGAGGGGGTGTGGCTCGGCCACAAGCTTGCTCCCAGATCTTCCTCTTCTGTCCTGAATGGGGACTAAGGACTCACTCGCTCATTCTCTGGTGACCAGCTGGTTGGTTTGCAGTGACTGTCCTCTTTGGAGAATGACACCTCCTCTGTCCTGTAAGCGCCCTGTGTGCTTCCCTCTCCATTGCTTGTGCTTTTCAATCCTTTGATCCTCACCTTCCAAGCAGCCCCAAACCCAAGGGATGGCGAAAACTCTCCCGAAATGCTCCTGAGTTGGCCACAGGGGAAGAAGGGCTCAAACAGGGCAGCCACCTGGGGCAGGGCCGGGCAGCCAAGAGAACCTGTGGTACCTCACTGCCGGCCCCTCAGACACAGGGCTCTCCCGACCCGAAGGCCTCATGGTAGCCCTCCTTACAGCTGGCACCTCGGCCACGGAGCACAGCGACGCCAGGCAGACAGTCCCTACAGGGGAGGCTTCGCCTGGGACAGGCAGGATGCAGAGACGGCCTTGCCCCCACCCAGGAGAGACACTGGGCCCTACGATCACAAGGGAGACAGGAGCCTGCCACCAGTGGAAATCCTTGTCCAAGACCCCAGGAGGCTCCGTTTCCCTGGCAGAGTGGGCCTGACTGTGCTCCGGGTCCAAGGGCTAGGACCACGGGCTGTCCAAAGGTCCTGTAGACCCATAGGGACAGCATCTGATGCTCCCAAGCCCAGGGGCCAAAGCCACACCCACTTCATCCACCGCCGGGGACTGCCTACTAGGACCCAGGTCCGCACCAAGAGAGGCAAGCGGTCAAGAATGGCAGGGTTCCGGCGGACCCGCCCCCGGATGCCAGGTGACTGCAGCGCGGGACGCACTCCACCCTTTAGGCCAGGGCTTCCCCGGGGACAAGCACCCCATCCCAGTGAAGGTGTTCTCACGGAGGGCAGGGGGATACTCATAGCCAAGCCTGGGAGAGGGGCAGCTGGGCAAAGGACAGGGGCGTGAAAAGGCACTGGGAGGGGACACTGCCACTGTCCTCAGTTTGTCCGGCACCCTGCCTGCCCCACCACCCAGCTCCTGCCTGACATGGGTCACCCATGATGTCATTATGGACATTGTGATCCCCACCTTCCTGGGCACGTGCCTGCACCATGTCTGCCCCCAGAGCCAGCCTCACACTCTGGCCCCTCCCCTGCATGGAGCTCTGATCCTGCCCACTCCGAGGCTGGTGCTGGATGCTGGCAACTGTCCCCTATCTCCTAGGAGGCGTGACGGGCCCAGGCCCCCTGGTCAGGCCTGAGCCTGGGATGACGTGCCGAGAGGGGCTGAGGGAACTGCCCGGGGGCTGCCAGAAATGGGTGGGACATGGTCGACAGGTCTGGGGCCCTCTGGGACTGGGCTGTGGCCAGATTCTGAGTGGGCACTGCCTCAGCCACCCCTCAGACCCCACCCTGTTCACAGGCTTGGCCCATGAGAGATCGATGGGGAGCAGCAGAGCAGAGGGGCTCCTGTGTCCGTTAAGCCAGCAGGACCAAGATGCAGGTGGGCTCGGGCAGAGGCTGCGAGGGGTGGCAAATCCTCTGGCCACACAGCCTCTGACCGCCTCCCCGCCCGCAGAACCCCCGGACGACAATGCTGTGGCTGCCAGGCCCCGGGCCGCCCTTCTGGACAGGCACCTGCTCAGGGGGGAGAAGCAGGCGCCCAGCACGGGGGGCGGCCCCTTCTTCTACATCGGAGGCACCAACGGCGCCTCATTGTGAGTGGGGCCTGAGGCCCGGCCCAGCCCCC